GGTCCTGCCCTGCTGCGGGGGGTCGCTGCGCCAGCTGGGGCGCGCGCTGAGCCCGCGTGACGCGGCACCTCCGCCCGCAGGCGAGGTCGTCCCTATCTTCGCTGAGATTGACAACGGGACGTCCCGCGCGGTGGTGCCCAGAGCCGCCGTCATCCAGACGCAGACCTTCGTCGCCCGCGGCACCAAGAAGCAGAAGACGGTGGTGGTGGCTAGCATGGCGGGCGACCCCGTGGCCGCGGGCAAGAGGGACGTGTGGCACGGGCGCGCCCTGAAGATCCCCCCCGTGGGCCCGTCTATCCTGCAGTGCCGCGTCCTGCAAGTGGAGTACAGCCTCAAGGTAGGTGCCTCGGCCCGGGCTTGGAGCCCCTGGTGTGGGCAGCACCCGCCAGGGCTGGGCGCCGGGCTGGGGCATGGAGCATTTCCCGGCCAAGCTCTGTGCAGAAGTGACCGGGCCCCCGCTCTGCTCCGCTCCGCTCCTCTCCAGGTGTGCGTGGACATCCCTGGCACCTCCAAGCTGCTCCTGGAGCTGCCCCTGGTCATCGGGACCATCCCGCTGCACCCGTTCGGCAGCCGCACGTCCAGCGTCCACCAGCCAGTACAGCATCAACCTGGACTGGCTCAGCGTGATCCCCGAGCAGCCCGAGGGTGAGTGCCCGGCTGTGCCGGGGCAGGGCGAGGAGCGCTTTCGTCCTCTGGGGTCTCGGGGCTGCGCTTCCTGGGCGGGGGCGGCCGTATCCGCGTGCGGGCGTCGCTGGTCCCGTCTGACCCCTCGGCACCGCGGCTCTTTCCAGCTCCCCCGGAGTACTCGGCCGTGGTGTCCAGTGAAGACTGTATGCTGAGCCTGTCCCCGCCCAGCCCCGCGGGGCTCGGCCCCGTCGTGGAAGGCCCCTTCTTCCCCTACATCCAGGAGTTCCGGTACCGGCCGCCTCCGCTGTACTCCGAGGTGAGCGCGCGCCTGGGGCAGCTGGGGGGCCCGTGGGGCGCGGCTTGCTGGTGCCTAATGCTGCCTGCTTGCCCGTCCCAGGTGGATCCCAACCCCCCCGCCGAGGGCATCCGCCCACGCTGCATGACGTGCTGAAGGACACGCTCGCACTGCCGCTGACTGCCACGAAAACCCCATGGGGATGAGAAGCTTGTGGGCTCCCCTGGCTTCTTCTGGAGCGGGAGAAGTACCCGAGAGGCGCCTGCGAGACTAGAGCGCCTGCAGCACCGAGATCCTGCCTTTGCTCGCTACCCTTGCAGCCACTCGTGATGGGACAGGGCTGTCCCTGGACTGACGTCTTGCTCTGGAGCTGGAGCGTGCTGGGCCTGGACTTGCCTGGCCTGGGGCAGGTGGTGTGTGCCTCCCAGGCAGAGGAGGGTGGAGGGCAGTAAATACTTCTGTAGGGCTGTCGGGTTCCCCTGGGCAGTGCCTGGCTCCGTCGAAACGGCCTCGGCACTGACCTGCTCCAGCAAACTCCGGTGATGGGAATTGTCTGGATCCCTGGAAGGAGCGTGGGTGGGTCGTGCCTTGGTGGCGCAGGTGCAGTCTCCGCCTGCTGCCTCCTTACGACAGCACCGGCATCGGGGTTGGGGTCGTTCCTCGTTTCCCGCCACGCAGGGCCCTGCTGTTCTGCGCCTGCGAGCTTTAAGATGTGCTGGGGCTGCCTGGGGCCGGGTCCCCGAACCGCACTGGGGCTCTGCACGGTGGAGATGCCCCTGTGATTGCTAGGAGGTATAGGGGTGCAGGAAGCCCGCTGGGCAACTCTTGTGTCGCAAGTAGCCTGTGCTGGTGCTCGCGGCCTCCGCCGCGTGCCGCTCGAATCGCCTGCTCCGGCTGCAAAGGTTGAGAGGAGCCGGACACGCTGATGGTGACAGCTGTGCCGATGGGAGGCCCCGTGTGCCCGTGGGGCCGGGTGTCCTGCAGTGGGCGCTCTGGGAAGAGTGGGAGTCCTACGTGGGCTCGCTGCCCCGCGGGCGGCAGGAGTAGCTGTAGCAGTGCTGGGCACGGTGGGGGCCGGTGGCATTGTGGTGCTGAAGCCCGGGGGGAGGAGGGGCTGTCACGGGCTGCATGAGTGCCCGGGTTCAGGCTGGTCCCCTTGAGACAAACCCAGCGCTGCGTCCCGCTGCAATGAGCCGAGTCTGCGCGGCCCCAGGCCGGGGCTGTGGCTTGTGCCCCTGCAGAGAGCCACTGCCGCGGGCCTCACCAGCTCACTTCCACGGCAGCCCGCCGGCTCTGCTGGGGGCTGTCCAGGCTGCTTTTGAGCTTCCTGAAAGTGTTTTATAAAGAACTTTTGTTTTTTTTGTCTGTAGTGTTCCTACTTTTGTACAATGTGAGATTTGGAAATAAAACCTGAAAGAAAAAGTCTAGCCCTGGCTCTCTTCCCTCCTGGTCCCACTCATCTGGGAGTGGGGGGTGTTTTTTTGCCAGACTCCTGCTTCCCTGGGCGGTGGCAGCCCCAGGAGCCAGCGTCCCATACGCTCCTGGGCACTTGCTCCCGCCAGGAGCGGTGGGGGAGGACGGCGAGTGCCTCTCCCCCCTTCCCAGCCCACCTTGTCCTCTTGCCTGGGCTCTGCTTCGTGCGGCAGTGGCTCAGGCTTATCCTGGCACCCCTCCCACCCTGGCTATGTCGCGGGCGTGTGGAGCTAAGCCCTGGTCCAGGCTCCCTGCACCGGTCTCCCGCCCTGCACATGGAGCCCTGCGGCCCTGAGCTCTTGTCCATCGCCCGCAGCTCGGCCGCAGGGGACGGCCAGGGGCTGTCCTGGGTGGGCATGTGGAGGGGCATAAAGCTAGTGCTGGGGGTTGGAGTGCGAGCCCCCAGTCCAGCGGGCTCCTGGGCGGCCCAGTCCGTGCCCAGGTCCCAGTGCTAGGTGCTGTATGCGCACAGAGCTGCCCCTGCCCCCAGGGCGTGCTGGCTGCGCCCGTGGCTGCAGGCGGGAGGGTGAATGTTGCAGCCCGTACCGTTGCCACGCAGTGGCTGCCCCGCGTCTCGGCACAGTGTAACTGAGAGCACCACGGTGCCTGGGCCAGCAAGGTGCCTGCTGCGTGGGAGCTCTCCATGCCCGGCCCCATGGGCTGAGCTTTGCAGCCAGGATCCCAAGCACGGGAAGGGGGGGTTGGAGGACCGCGAGCCCCACGCAACCCGGCCTGAGCCTGCTTCCGGTAAGCACTTCTAGCGGCAGCTTGGACTCCAGCTGCTTTCCAGATGTTGGCTGGTGCTGGGAGCCCTGTGCCACTGGCTGGGCACGCAAGCCTCCATGCCTGCCTTGGCTGGCTCGGGAGGGACACCCCGTCCCCACTCCTGCCCGGCCTGCTGGCTGTCTAGCAGTGCCCCTCTGCAGAGCAGCCCCGGGTAACGTCCTCCTCCTCTTCCTCCAGCCCCGTTGCTGCAGCCTCGGTAAAGCCATGAAGGTGCAGAGCTGCGTCCAGGTTGTGCGTGGCACTGAGTGCAGGCGACCGGGCACCCGTGGGGCTAGCGACCGTTGTGGCCTGGCAGTCGGGTCTGGGGCCTCCGGGCAGAGGAACGGCACGGGCATCCGCTCGGCCCCCGGTGCTCCCGCGGAGGCTGGTGCGTATCCCGCCGTGCACCGTGAGAAAAACCACAGCGCTGTGGGCAAGCAGGGGCCACGCGGCCCCCGGGAGCCATGCCCCGCATGCTCAGCCCTTGATTTGGGCACGGTGCCGAGCAGTTTAGCTCTCACCATGTGCCCGCCTGGGGCAGGCGCGTGCTGGGCTGAGAGGTCCTCGCTGCAGATGCCTCGGCTAGGCCAGACCCTGCGTGGACGTGGCCTGAGCGAAGCCACGTCACCCGCTGGGAGGCTGGAAAGCCAGGACCGGGGGTGTTACAGGCCCAGGGAGCCACGTGGGAAGCGGGGAGGGTTGGGGCTGCTTCGGTGGTGGACACATGCCACGGGCGGGAAGAAACAAGGGGCGAGGGTCCTGGGGGACGTGTCAGGCCACGTCTCCGCGGCCCAGGCCGGCCGCCCAGGACTGGCAGCGCTGTGTCCTGATCCGGGCTGGCCCCACGCCGCCGGGAATCTGACCTGCCCGGGCACCCGCCCCAGCGACCGCGTGGCATCAGCAGGGAGCTGCGCCCAAGCGGAGGCCGGCGCGGGGTCCCTGAGGGTGTCCTGTAAAGCGATCCGTGGGCGGCGGGCACGCGGCAAGGACATACGGGCTGTGCTTCCAGGCACAGGAGGGTGGAAATGTTCTGTCTCACTGTACAGCGATGAAAATACCCTGGTGCTTATATATAGAGCTGCTATATATAAGTGGGCACGGCCTGCCAGAAGGCATGTGCGTGCCCTGACGGGGCAGGCCGGCCACGGGAGGATGGGTTTCGTAAGACAGAAACTGCTGACAGGGGTCGGTGCTATGAGCCGTCTGGCCCCGATCCGTGTGGCCCCCCCATACCCCGGGCTGCCGTCACAGCCTCAACCCACGGCCGTGGCGGGGTTGTAGGTTGTTGTTGAGCGCCACCGAGGGCAATAGCGTTGACACGTCCGGTTCCAGGAGCAGGTGCAGTAATTGCAAGAAGAGCCGCCCTGGCACGGGCGTCCTGCCCGGCCTGTTGGCCTGGGATGACTCTGCCCATGCCGTCACACAGCCCCTCGCCCGGCGCTGACTGGGCCCGCGCCGCGGCTGCATCCCCGGGCCGGGCTGACGGCTGTGTCTCCCAATGCCGGCGGTCTTTGGCCCGGGCCCCTGGTTCCCCAGGGCAGGAGCTGCATCGCAGCCTCCACGGCCGTGCGCAGGCACATGCGGGGCCCGCGGCACAGGCTGGGGCACGGCAAGCTGCAGCTTCCCCACCTGCAGCTCCTGCTGGGCGCTTGCTCGGGCCCCTCTCTGGGGCTTGGGGCCGGTTCTGGCAGGCAGTGCCGAGCTGCAGCGAGGGGCAGATGCCGCCGTGCAAGGCACTGCTTCCGCACGCCTTGTGCAAACGTGCGCGGGGCTGGCAGGAGCACGCCGAGCCCCGGCCCTGGCCCCACTGAGGGGGCGCGTTATGCAAGCACGGGGCCCGGCGTGTTTATAGCGCTTGGCCCGGCTGCAGGGAAGAGCCTTGCAGCCCCCCAGCACGGCCCGTCCCCGAGAGGGTCCGTGGGCTCCCGTGCCCTTTGCGCTGTTTTTGTGCGACACTGTTTATCCTGCTGGTCGTTGCCCCCGCCGCCTCCCCCCAGCCCATCCTGACCCAGGGCAAAGCCAGCCCCGGCAGGGCTCCCTGCACAGCTGCCTCCAGGAGGCGAAGCCTGGCTCTGGGTCCAGCTCCGCAGGCCAGGGGGTTGCAGAGCTCTCGGGGTTCGACCCCTGCTGCGCCAGGCCAAGGCCCTGCTCTCGTGTCCCCATCCCACAGCACCACTCCCCAGGTCTGCAGTGCCCCGCTCGCCTGCGGAGACCCGGGCCGGGTTGGGCGCGTGTGCCCCCAGCAGACCCCCGTGGCAGCTTCTCCCCTTGGCCAGGCCGGGGGCCGGGGGTGGCCCTGCCCGGCTCCAGCTGCCGCCCAGGAGCACAAGTCTTCCCCTTTCCGGGGAAGTAAACAAGCAGCTGCCCCGCGTGACTGCCCGCGGCCCCCGGCGGGCTGGGTCAGCGGGGGTGGCTGGGCGTCCCAGCCGCGTGCCTCTGGGGTCACCGTCCTCCCTGCAGGAGGGTCCGGCCCCC